GTATAAAGCGTACTTTCTGCCTCGCGTTGTTTACTAAATGTAATTGTTCTTTTATTAAAATATCTATAAGATAATCTATATATAACTGTTCTATCGTATTGATTTAATAAAATAGTCGATAATTATGACAGAATTTGCTATTTATTGGGTACGTACATGAATGAGGGCTTGCAGAATTGAATATAGTTCTTCAGAGTATATACTGCAAAGAGAAGTTAATTTAAACCGTAATACAATGTTCAAAGTTATAACTGCTGATCTCATACCATTAATAGTTTTTGATGAATCTGTATAGATATGACTCTTCTTCTTGTAGTGCCTATCCGTTTCGGATGTTGTCGACCATCATGGCAATCTGCACTTTGCACACTGCTGCTCTAAAAAGATTTGTGGTTGTTGTGTTGAACCACCTTCGTATATTTTTCAGCCAGGAAATCCTTCGCCTTCCTGGTCCCCGTTTTTCTTCTACTTTTCCCTGCAAGATTAGTTGCAGCAGTCCATATCTTTCGCTGTTCCTCATGATGTGACCGAGGTATTCGATTTTGACTATTTTTATTGTGGTTAACAGCTCTTTTTCTTTTTTCATTCTCAACAGAACACCCTCATTATTAACGTGGTCCGTATACGATATCTTCAGGATGCGACGATAAAGCCACATTTCAAAAGCCTCAATTTTCTTGCAGGTGGCCTCTGTGAGAGTCCATGACTCAACTCCGTACAACAGTATAGGAAAGATGTAGCATCGTAGTAAACTGATTTTTATGGGCATTAATAAATCATGACATTTGAATAACTTAGCCCTTTTTTGAAATGCAGATCTTGTTTTCTCTATTCTACATTTGATTTCTATGGAATGGTCCCAATTTCCATTGACGTCCGTACCAAGGTAGGTGTATGTTTTTACTCTTTCTATTTGTTGACCGTTTACACTGATTTGTCCCAATTGCTGTTCCTTCTTAGAGATCATCATGCATTTTATTTTCTTAGTGTTTAGTGAAAGTCCGTATCTCTGACTGACCTCTGTGATTCTGTACATTAACTCCTGGAGGGTTTCAGAACGGTCAGCGAATACTACCGTGTCGTCCGCGTATGTAATGTTTTTAGTAGATTCTCCGTTGATTCGAATTCCGGCTTCAACATCACCCACTGCTTCTTGACAGATTTCCTCAGAGTATATGTTAAACAACAGTGGTGATAGTATACATCCCTGACGGACGCCATGTTTGATTTTGATATCGTCGGAGTCTTCTGCCTCTGTCCGGATAGATGATGTTTGATTCCAGTACAGATTGCTGACAATTTTTAAATCACAGGTGTTTATTCCAATATTGGTTAATATCTGCATCAGCTTGTCGTGCTTTACTGTATCAAACGCTTTATGGTAGTCAATTAAGCACGCATAAATGTTGCAGTTCACGTCTCTACATCGTTAAAATAGCACTTGTATACTAAAGAGAGCCTCTCTCGTACCTTCTGCATTCCGAAAACCAGACCGTATACGGCTGATTTTTTCTTCGCACAGTCTATATATCCTTTGATGTATGCTTTTTAGAAATAATTTTAAAATATGACTCATTAAGCTGATGGTTCGGAAATCACTGCAGGATACGGAATTTGCTGGACTGGTCTTTTTTCTTACAGATAAAACATGAGAGTTGATCTAAACTGAAAAATATGCGATGCGAAGTTTGTTCATATGTAATTAAGACGGAAGAAGGTAGGTCTATATCTACAAGTTGTTGAATCTATGTCTTCTCAAACTGAAGATATGTTGAAATTCTGGGGACTGACTACCTATTCTAAGGAAAGTTAAAGGTGACATAAATTTAAGACTCAAATTAATTAACTAATTAGGGAATGTGGAATACAAAGACATACATTAGATAGTAACTTTTATTTGTGCTGAATTAGACATACAATTTTCAATCAAAGATTCGCTGAGGAGATCGGATCTGATATAATTTAATTATATCAGAGTACTCATTCTTCTTCTTCTTCTCAAAATGCCCTCTCCTCAATGGAGGTTGGCTACTACAATTTTAAACTCTTCTCTATTTTCAGGTGTTCTTATTAGCTGTTCAAAATTTAGCCATTGTCGGATGTTTGTGAGCCACGAAGGTCTTTTCTTTCCTAGGCCTCTCTTTCCCTCGATTTTTCTTTTCACTATAAGTTTGGTATGGGTATGGGCATGGCATATTGAGTATTCTCTCTAATTTTGAGTATTCTCTAGTGGATCAACATTTCAAAGGCCTCCAATTTATTTACGGTTGATGTTTTAAGGGTCCACGTTTCATATAGAAGCTGCATATAACAGAGTCGACCAGACGTAGCATTTTGATAAACGTAGTCGAATTTCGAGTTTTATTCGAGAATCACAAAGCAGTTTTTATATTTTTTTTTAAAGATTTTCTGGCCTGTTCTATTCTCGATCTTATTTCTAGATTAGGATTTAGGCTGATATCGGTCCAACATCCCAGGTACTTAAATCTATTAACCTGTTCTAAAATGTGCCCATTTATTGTGCAAGGTTGAGGTACGTTTTGGTTTTTTCGGATTGACATCACTTTGGTTTTTTTAATGTTTATTTTTATACCAAATTGCTCACAGGTCGAGTTGGTCTTGTCGATGAGTCGTTGTAGACCTAAGTCGGAATCCGCAATTAACACTGTATCATCGGCGTATATGATACTGTTGATATTTACGCCATTCACATTGACTCCATCCTTGGAATCCTCCAATGCTTCTTTAAATAGAAACTTGGGAGTAAATATTAAACAGCAGAGGCGACAGAACATATCCTTGTCTAACTCCCGTCCTAATTTCTACTTCTGCGGATGTGGAACCTTTAATCCTAACTCTGGCGTTTTGGTTCCAGTACAAGTTTTTTAAGAATTTGATGTATTTTCCATCTAAACCGACTTCTTGCAAACGTTCTAATAGTAGATCGTGTATTACTCTATTAAATGCTTTTTCGAAGTCTATAAAGCATATAAACATATCTTTCTGTTGGTCGTAGCATTTTTGGGCGAGAACTAGTAAACTGAACAGGGCTTCTCTCGTTCCCATGTCGGCTCTGAATCCAAACTGAATCCAAACTTTTACTGCATGACTCATAAGGCTTATCAGACGGAACTCATTGCAGTGTTGTGGGTTTGGCTTTTTTGGTAGTGGGATGATTATTGACTCCAGCCAATCTTGGGGTATTTTACCTGTATCATAAATGCGATTAAATAAAAGGACAAATATTTCAATATTTTCTTCGCTGATTAATTTTAACGTTTCTGGGTATATTCCGTCTGGACCTGGGCTTTTATTTGTTTTGAGATGATTAATTGCATTTATGATTTCAGATTTCAGAATTGTTGGCCCTTAGTTGTTATTTTCCAATCTTGGTTCTTCTCGTATGTCGTGAAAAAGAATTTTAATATAGTTTTTCCATTCTTTCAGTTTATCTTCCGTTGATTCTAGCAGTTTGCCATCCGTGTTCAGCATGGTGTGAAAAGTCGTTCTCTTGGTAGTCGATATAAACTTTTTTACCTTTTTATGTAAATTAAAAAAAATCGTGCCTTTGTTGCAGTTCTTCTATTTCAACGCATTTTGTTTCCAGCCATTTCTCTTTTGTTTCGGTTATTTTTTTTTCGAATTATTCTATTTAGTCTTTTGTATTCTCAGTCCTTGTCATTTTTTCCTTTTGATTCTCTTCGTTTGTTCATTAATTGTAAAATCTCTTCTGTCATCCATTCCTATTTGTTATTTCTAGGTGTTAATTTTAGATGTTTTTCCGTTACATTGGTTATTTGTTTTATATTAGTTTTATACAGAACGTTTATGTCATCGTACTCGCTAATTCTATTGTGGTCGATATTTCCTAAATTTTTGTTTAATTCTTTATTTACTGTCTGATGTATGGTGTCGTTTTTCAATAATTGGATGTCTAATAGTTGGTGTTGAGGTTTTTGTTTCTTTATTAGTTTCCATCTTGCGCGAACTTTTGCAACAACAGGATTATGATCGGAATTGATGTCAGTTCCAGGATATGTTTTTGTACTGATGATTGCATTGTGATATCTTTTGTTGACCAATACGTAATCTATTTGGTTACGGATTACTCTGTTTTCATTGTGTTGTGGTGAAGTACTCATTAGTACTTAATAATACCAGCTATAGAAACAGAAGTGATTCTGATAAGAGATCTTTCGCAAGACACTTACCTTACAAACGGTATGCTTTTAAATGAAGAAAAGTATAACTCACTGATGTATTCCGTAACGTAGCTGCACTATATACAATCACTTTTGATTAAGTTTATTTCAATATTTGTAGATTACTATGAAAAAGGCAATATTCGAACTAAAAAGTTAACACAGTTTTTGTAAGTAACATCGACTTATTTTAAGGGTTTAGGACATTTTCTCAATTTCCTCTTTGATTACTATTATTATTACATTGAAAACTACATGAAAATTACATTTTCACTAGTATTGTTTGATGTTTTGATTTCAAGTCCGGAAATTATTTTCAAAAAAGGCTATTTTAAAAAATGTGGGAAAAATCTATCCAGTATAGAATATAAACAACCAGTATACACAGGTATTATTATTTTTTATATTTATTTAAAAGTCCATGTTTTTATGTATCTCTAACTATAATCTTAATATTCAAAGGTAGTTTTAAAAATAGTGATTGCTTATGTTTTCTTATAGTTTGTAGGTTTAATTTATAAATATAATTTTTATTCCTATTAAAAAAGATTATTATAATTAATGGGCCTCTGTTTTGTTTTTTTGACAAAACCAATTATATTTAAGCATTTTATATTTCCCTCAGGAAATATTCCACTTTATATCGTATTATGTTATGCCCACGGAAAATGTTTAGAATAGATCGTAAAATGGATCTTTTAATCCAAAACAAACTAAGAGAGACAAACATAGTCCTTAAGTTAATCGAAAAAAGCCCTTCTCCCCAATAAAGCCATCTATAAAAATCCAGTCACTCAC